GGGGGAGGGGGGAGGGGGAGATGTCTTTTGTTTTCAGTTTGTTGGGTTTTATTTTTGTCCATGGGACTTGTGATGTTGAAAAAGAAAAAAAACCACGCGCGCGGTCACGTTGCTCACGCCCTCCGCATGTGTTCTAGGGATCCCAGCGAGGCCCACTTACTTATAGTTCCTTGTTGTTGTTGTTGTTTTCAGATGCTGGGGTTTGCATCTGGGGCTTGTTTTTCTCCTTCCAGGGGCGGGCGGGGCGGGGCTGTCACGGGGAGGGGTTCCTGTGTTCCCCAGGCCTGAGGAGGCCCAGCCTGCAGTCCCGCCCCCCTCCCCCCTTACCCCTGTCCTGGAAGCCGCTGAAGATTCTCCCCACGCCTCTTCGGCTGCTCTCTGCTCAGGCTGCTCCTCCAGAGCAGAGCAGAGCAGAGCAGAGCAGAGCAGAGCCCTCTGTCCTGAGGAAGAGGAGGAGGAGGAGGAGGTGGGGGAGGAAGAGAAGAGGAGGAGGGGCGGATGGGCGAGTGGGCTCAGCCTCCCTTCCCGCATGCCTGTTTTTCCCAGGAGCCTCAGCCTGTCTCTGCAAACCCACACATTTCCACGAGAGAACACACTGCCAGTGGTTTAAAAATAGGCCCCAGGCTCTGCCTCAGTGGGGGGGGGCGGGCAGGAGCGGGAGAGGCGGGGAGGGGAGGGAGGCTCCGTTTACTTCAAGGATGAGTGCTTTTGCAGAACACCCCGGTCACTTTGGTGACCAGGATCGCTCAGAGGGCTAAGGGGGGAACTTCACCTTCCCTTCCTGAATCACCGCCAGCAGTTCCTAGCATGTGGATGTTGGAGCCGTAGTCTCACTGGTGGTGGCTCTGGCTCTCCTCCTCTGCTCCGTGTGTGTGTGTGTGTGTGTGTGTGTGTGTGTGTGTGTGTCCCTGGCCCCGTGGGAGCGGGAAGGGACCTGTCTCCCATCAGCGAGGCCGCCCAGCCCAGCGCTTTGCCCTGCAGTGTGTGGTTTTCCTCCTGGGTTGAACCGTACCAAGTTCTTTGCTCTCACTGGCTCAAATATAGGAGATGAGTCCCTCAGCAGGGTAAACGGTTATGGAGGTAGGGTTGTCTTTGGCCAGGCTTTGATTTTTTTTTAAGCTTCCTAAAACCTCATTCTTCATCTTTATTTAGAAACGGAGAAAATAGAAAAGAGGTGTTGTTGAGCCTGTTTTCCTGGAGAACAATCCCCAGGGGCCCGTGCGTGGCGTGGAAAGGAGTTAGTGGGATGCCTTGGACGCCGGGGCTGTGCTGGTGTTGTGCGTTTGTCCGCTCTTTGGTCCTTGTGACATTCCAACCCGGCATCTGGTCATGGGGACGAGGGGCCAGGGCCTCCTCCCCAGGGGAGGGGACAAGCAGCGAGGTGAATGTCATGGGGGACACCGCGTCTGCTGGGCGTCAGCGCGCACGAGCGGCAGACTCGTGAGGAACGTGGTCCTGACTCCCGCTCTCCCGCCCGCGAATCCCGGGAGGGTTGGTGCCACGTGGCGTGAGAGGTGCCGGCCCCTGGCTCCGTCCGCCAGGCTGCAGTCCCAGGCCTCAGTGGGGATCACTCCCTGCGGGGCGTTCGCTCCCTGTGGTGCACACGCACCACGCCTCCGAGTGGACCCGCGTCCGCACATCCGCACACACCGGCGTCTGCGTGCAGCGTGTGTGTGCACCAAGCCCACGGGCGGGAGGACCAGGCGCGGGAGGCTTCCCCGCAGGAGACGCGGCGGGAGAGGGTGCTGTCCTGTCCACACGTACCCCCTGGGCTGTGACGGCCATGCAGCAGGAAAGGCCAGGCTCCACGCCGGCCAAGGGAGGGGCCGCACTCAGCCTGGGCCGGCCAGCAGCGCCTTCCATCGGAAGTGAGTCTGAGAAAGATGAGCAGAGGGAGCTGGGCTGGAGTAAGAGCTGGACAGGCCGCCCAGAGTAGCAAGGAGACGTGTGTGTGTGTGTGTGTGTGTGTGTGTGTGTGTGTGTGTGTGTGTGTGCATACATGCCTGTGTAATCCTGACTAGTGCCAGTTAGTTTCTATTGTATCTGGCTGAGTGTGGGAATGGGAAAATATAATGTATTTGCTCTGTGTGTGTGTGTGTGTGTGTGTATGTCCATATATGCCTGTGTAATCCTGACTGGTGCCAGTTAGTTTCTATTGTATCAGGCTGAGAGTGGGGAATGGGAAAATATAACGTATTTGCTCTGTGTGTGTGTGTGTGTGTGTGTGTGTGTGTGTGTGTGTGTGTGTGTGCATGCCAGTACTGGGACTTCCTTCCGTTGTATTTGCTGTGAACAGGAACTTGAGAATGGATTGAGCCACCCCTAGGCCTCCTGGCTTACCTTACCTGGGTCTATGTTTGGGAATAGATTAGTCCTTACTGACCATATTCTGCGATATAGTCTGAAAGAACTTTGAAGATATATAGATGTATATATGCATAGCTATATATGTATGTATCTCTTTCCCTTTGAAGCTCCAGGAACACTTTTGTGACTTAAGAAATAAGCAACCAAGATTACAATTGAAGTTTATGTGAAGTTGTTTTTATTAGAAAAATAAAGACGAATATAAAACCTCATATTCTCCCTAGAAACAAAGTATGCAAAAACAGACACCCACAAAGAGACAATAGCTAAACAGAGAAGCTATTCAAGAAGAGTTATAAGGCTTCAGACCTTACATATGTGTATTTATATATATTTATGTGTGTGTATATTTATACTAAACAACAACATAAATCACAATTGTTAAAACCTCAGAAGTTGAATAACTAGAGAAAAATAGAGTTTGGAAGATGGAGTGAAGAATCCAGGAAAGAAGTTATAAGTAAAGAAGTCATTTCAGAAGAAATATTGCTCAGTGCAATCCCAACAAACAGTCGTATAGGAATTACAAATCTACCCTGAAGACTTATTGTAATTCTTCAGAGCTGGGACACTGTGGTATGGGGGAGCCAATGTATACACATCAGGGGTGTGCAACAGCCCAGGTGAACAGAATCCACTGATTTTTGATGAAGGTGCAAATACATTTCAGTGGAGGGGGAAAAAAATCACCTCTTCAATGGTGCTGTGCAACGAAGTTCCATGTGCTGAAAAATGAGTCCACACACAAGCCATGTGCCGTCTACAAAATTAAGTTGCGTGGCCCCTAAGCCTGTGTGTGAGAAGTACAACTCAAAAGCTGGGGGAAGATATGCGGGAAATGTTCTGGAACTTGTGCTTGACACAACTCTAAAAGCTCCACCCAGGAAAGAACAAAACTGACGAGCTGGACTTTCTTTACCTTGAACTCTTCCGTGTTGCAAGGGGCCACAGGTAAGAAAACAGAGGAAATGTTTACAAAACACCTGCTTAAAGATTTGTATATAAGATACAAGAAGAACTTCTAAAAAATCGCAGTAAGAGGACGGACACAAACACCAAACGGAGAAAAAGATTCAAACGATACTTTGCAAAGCAGACACAGACCGTTGAGCAGAATGGCCGGGACACAAGGGTCCGAGCCCAATTTCAGGCAGCAGACGCCCGTTGCTGGCAGCGATGCCCAATGGTAACGCACAGCCACTCGGGAGGCATTTGGGTTTCCTCATCTTACCACACGGCAGGTGCCAGAGGCTGCAGGGGAGAGTGTGGACGGACCGTCTAGGTGAGGGCCGGGTTAGGATCATGAAGCCACGCCCTGCTCCGGGACCCTGCGTGGGGCCCCTCGCTCCCATCAGGCCACAGAGCAGTGCAGAGAGTGGCCCTTGGAGATGTAAACGCCACGAGGAATGGAGAGGAAGCGGTTGTGTCAAGCCTCGCATCCGCCTCAGCCCCAGAGATGGAACCCGCTCAGATGCTCACCTCCACGGCTCTGGGAGCGAATCCTTCCGCAAGATTGGAAGCCCGGGAAGGTCTTCAGGTCATTGAATGGTCTCGTGGCCGCTGGTGGCTTCCCTTTCCTTCTTCTTGGCTGCCTGGCTGGACCCCCAGGACCCAATCTGAATGTGTGTAAAGTTTTCAAGGAATACTGTGAGACTCGGACAAAACACCTGAGTTCAGTGTCTTCACTGAAGCCTTGTTTGAGGAAAGTGATCTATCACATTAAAGCTGGGGAGAAACGGAGAAATCCAGGCATGGATGGACATGCAGCTTTGCCAGGCCTGCGTGGTTCACATCGAGCACTTGCAGGTCGCCGCAGACCCCCGGTACCCCTGGGAGAGGAGTGCTGTCATGGTGAGGGACCTCGGTTCCATAAGAAATACAAACAAGCCGGTGTCTCACGCCTGTCACCCTAGCTACTTAGGAGGCTGAGATCTGAGAGACTTTTATCTCCAGTAAACTACTCCAAAAACCGGAAGTGGTGCTGTGGCTCCAGTGGTAGAGCACTTGCCTTGAGCTGAAGAGCTCAGGGATAGTGCCCAGGCCTAGAGTTCAAGACCCACAACCAACCCAAATGAAGGAAGGAAGGAAGAAAGGGAGGGAGAGAGGGAAGAAGGGAGAGAGGGAGGGAGGGAGGGAGGGGGAGGGAGGGAGGAATTCAAACATAGAGCAAAATGGAAGTCATTATTGAGTCTAAAATGGTAGATACCAAATAGAAGATACTTCTCTTTTTCTGTATTCTTGAACGTTGATATGATCACAGATTTCACAGATGTGTCTTAAATTTTTTTTTAAAGAAGGTATTCTGTCCATTTTATAAAGGGCAAAAATCTGGAACTCAGAAAGCTAAAGTAACTTCCCGTGGTAGAATTTGAATCTGGGACTATTCTGAATCCAGCTGCCAGGCAAAGCAAACATAGTCCTCGGGCACCGGAAGGAGACAGAGATGCCGAAGGCGCCGCCTCCTCCTGTCAGAGGGGAGGAACGCAGGAGGACCGGGACTTGCAGCCAATTGGACAGCCCTGCGCAGG